GAACATTTTTAAAGAGGATGTTGGCTGGTTGTATGGAACTGGGTTCCAGAGACCCAGAACCACTTATTAAACCTATTTGTGAGAAATGGGCCTTAAATTTTATAATTGAGGGTTGTGGGGATATTTATGGGATAATAATAGTAAACAGTTGAGAATTGCCCACTAATTCAATTCTCAGATCCCAAATATCGTTATCGTGTTAAGTGAAATGTATACCATATAAATAATATCACAATTTTTGTTATAAAAATAGATTTTATTTATAATAACAAATTAATTAATAATAATAATAATATGTAACATGCGTGATAATAATCAATAATATCCAGTATAAAATGGTATGCAATACAAAGAAATGGCTACACACGTCTCAACGGCTAAACAGCATTTTCTGTCAAGTCTTCTGATTTATGAGGTATCTTTAACACAGACTGAAAGTGGAACTTTTCACAGCGAAGGGCCATAAAACCCTGGCTAACAGTTAGAATAACCCTTTCAATGCTGGCTAGATCTCCTAGGTAATTAAGATCTATTCTTATGTAATTTTAAATAAAATAACATTTAAACCAGTTCATTAGTCATTTCCTGGAACCATCCAATAAGAGAATCTACCATGATTATATAAGCAGATTTTAATTTGTCTAAAAGATATCTTATCTTAATTTAGAGCAAATCAATACACCTGGATAAAAACAACGGTATGCTATTCTTAATTCCACCTGCAGAATGGAATGTTTATAACTATATATTCTTTAGTTAACTAAGATTTCTTAATATGGAAATCTGACCGTGCTTTATCCTAGTCATATATCATGCTATTAATACATTTTAATTAATTTAAATTAATTAAATGAAACCAGTATAATTACCAGTTGAATAGAAATTTCATCCGATTGGTAGATAGTCTCAGGAACTTATTTGGATGTCTGTAGGTGCATGAGTTATGGTGAAAGGTGGTGTTGGTTAGAAAGTCAGTAAAATTCTAAGTGTTAGAGTTTTAAGAGTAGAGTGTTAGTCTCAGATGTTGTCCTGGGTTTCTCTGTATGTCCGAATTGGAGTCCCAACTTCCAATTCCTCTCTCCTCTTTTTCCTCCTTGTATCCCCCAATCTTCCCTTTGTCTTAACTTTTAAAGGGCCAGACTCTCTATACGTCATCAGTTGATAACCCAATAGAAGCACTAGAGGTGTGGTTATCTTCCAGATCGCAATTTAGGTATTTAGTCTATAGAGGGCAGTCTTGTCCCACTAAACATACCTATCCAGGAAAGAGTTAACTTTTCCTGGTGGCTATTTTGACGTCATTTTGGCCATATCTCAAATGACCACTATAACTTACGTATCCTTTCAGATCAAAGGGTTTCTTTAAGTTTTGTCCAGACTATGTGTCTGGCAAATCTGAGTTTTGACCCATAACTTACAATGGTACCTTATACATATAGACAGTCTATCCAACCCCCATTTTCTGCTTATCAGTTGGTTTGTATATACTATGCATTCCTTTAGCTCTGGGAAAGTGGTTAGTTTACAGATAGAAATCTTGTGTCTCTTTGTTAACTTGAAAATAACAAAATGGATTCTGGTCTGTTCAGAGTGACTCAGAATATACACTTTTAATTTCTATCATAGCACAAGATGTCTGCCGATATAAATACCCTGACAGGGTGATGATTGGAGAAGGCCTTTGAACGAAACCTATAAGAATATCCATTGTCTCAATCTGTTGGAATGTCAATATACACTTTCAAATTGCTGGTATCTAGTTCCATCCAGGATGTTATTTTTTTCC